CTCCCCACCCTCTCCTCGTGCTCGCCTGGCTGGCGAACGAGAGCTGTCGCGCCCTCTGCTGGGTGCCGCTGTCGAGCCGCCAGGGCTCCGCGGCGCCACAGCAGGCGCGGCATTGCCAGCAAAAGCAGAAGATTGGGCAGCGGCACTCGCCGTGGGCATCAGAAACTGCGGGGGCGGCACCACTCCGCTTGGCGGCGTCCTGGTGGCCGCAAGCAGCGCTTCGTGCTTCGCGTTCAAGATGTTGAACTGCGAGCCCAGGCTGTTCACGTTGCTGTCGATCCTCTGCTGGAACATGACTAGGTTCTGGGAAATCGACGCGAGCTGGGACTGCACCAGGGCGAGGTCCACCACCTGTCCAGGTTGAAGCCCTGGCTGCGCGGGTGCGTGCTGCATCGGCTGCGTCCTCATCGAGGGAGCCGCGGCCACACCAGCAGGCACACCACCTGGCTCCTCGCTGGCTTCGTCGGTCTCCATGATTCCCGGCTCTCCCAGGGGCTCGGCGCCGACGGGTTCCATGGCCTCGATCTCCATCAGCGCCTGCTGGTGCCGAGAAACCCACTGGTCTGAAAGGTCGCGCTTGGCTCTCAACTCGTCCAGCTCGGCCTCCTTGTTTCGAATCTCTTGCTCCTGAGCCTCCAACTTCGCCTGTGACCTCTGGAGCGCTGACCTTTGCCGATCGCGCTGTTGTTGCCACGGGCGGCAGAGGTGGATGGCAGTCAGCAACACGGCATACCAATCCCGCTCGTCCTCGCTGGCGTCCCCAGCTTCTTCCTTCATACGGATTGTGGCGGCAAGGACTTTCATCTCGGCCCTCCTTCTGCTGATGTAGGTCTTCCGATCGGACTCTGTAGCAGTCTCGCCAGGCAAGGGAGGAAACCGATGATGATAGACTGCCATAGCGGGAAGGGCTGGTAGTATATTGAGGGGCGCGGAGACCGTCGTCGTCCCGTCCTCCTCCTCGTCTGCGAAAGTCACAGAAGGTGATCTCGCCCTCTGTTCCTGCCGCTGCTGGCCTCTCCTCGGCCCACTCGACGAACGTCGTGACTGTGTCTGCGCCGACTGTTGCAAACCTGTGGCTGCTCCCTGAGAATTCCTCACCCACGGGTCTCGGACCATGCCGTATGCCATCGAGGTCTGAGCAGAAGACCACGAACTCGCAGCTTGACCGGCATGCACTTGAGGCGGCTGATACTGTCTGCCACGCTGCGGACCAGGCACACGAGGGGGGGCTTGACCACGTCCACTGGGCATCTGAGGAGACTGATCGGGCATGCACGTGGTACAGAAGGTGGAGGCAAACGAGTTGACGCCACCACATATTTCACACAGCCAACTATCTTGCATCCGAGACTGGGACGAATGATGTCGGCTCAGGCGAGACGCCGCGGCGGCTACGCGGAGCAGCGTGCGGTCGAGTGACCTCTGGTGCCGCTCGCGTCTGTGCCAGCCGCCGTCGGACGGAATTGCGGCGGGCCGCCAGCTGCTGGCGGCTGGCGCGCGAGGCCTGTGAATCTGGCGGGGAAAATGCAAAACTGCCAGAAACAAAACCAGCCACCAGGAAATGTCTCCAGTGGCTTGGACCTTATGATGATGATGATGAGGAGGAGGAGGAGGAGGATGGTGACGATGATTGTGATGATGAGGCTGGTGATTAAGCAGATGAAACTGCTGTTGATGGTTATTTGTTTATTAATGTTGCTGACGAGGACGATAGTGGTGATGCTGGTGTTGAGGATGATAAGGACGATGTTTGTGTGTGTGTTTATTAGGCTCATGGTGTTCCTGCAGTTCCTGATGATGATGCTGATGTTGATGATGTTGATGATGATGATGATGATGATGATGATGATGATGATGATGATGATGATGATGATGGTGATTGCAATGCTGCTATTGCTGCGTTGCTGCTGGTGGTGAAACAAGTGCTGATAATGACGATGATGCTGACGACGACGATGATGATGATGATGATGATGATGATGATGATGATAGTGATGATGCTGATGATGATGATGATGGTGATGATGATGATGCTGATGATGATGATGATGATGATGATGATGATGATGATGATGATGACCATCATGACGATGATGATAATATCGAGGAGGATAATGCGGAATCCTTTTTTTCAGACCTGCGGCCAGCTGTATTTCTCCTTGTTGCACGCCGAGTGGGACACGTCCACCGCGTCGACAAGGAAAATATGTTGTAGCGTTGCACGCCGAGTGGAGCACGTCCACTGCGCCCGCTGGAGCTCTTCTGCCGCGTGGAATGTGATTCCATTGGTCCGCCAAAAGAGGGGTGGAAAAGAGAGGGAGTGCGGGCTTGCTGAGAGGAGAATGCAGGATTCAGGTCGATTGGGGCTCATGGCCTGCATCCGTGGGGACATAGAGGGAGGGTACGATTTTTGATTGGTCATGATTGATAGAAGTACTTCTGCGCTCCGATGCTGTGAACCCTAGACCGTCGCCACATCTTACTAGAATCAAAGCGCGCGCGCGGCGCGCGCGTGGTTCTAGAATACATATGTATGTCTATATATATGTGTGTGTGTGCATGGGGCGGTACTTGCGAACCTCGTCTCTTGGACGAACCCCCTCTTGGACGACCCGATGCCGCCCCAGGTGGTCACGCCGCCCGCGCCCCCGGCGCCGCCGCACGCGGCGCCTCCACAGGCAGCGCCGAGGCCGGGCTGCGCGGCAGGTGCTCCAGCCCCCGCTCTGACCGCGCGCGCACGCGGCCCCTCTCCGCACCACCAGGGAGGAGAGGAGGAGGAGGGGAGGAGGAGGAGGAGACGGAGGAGGGCCGTGGGTAGGCCTGGGGTGCTTCCCTCTCCTCCTCATCGTCATCATGTCCCTCTGCATGTGGATCCGCATGCATACGCGAGCACTGCGATCGACCGATCTCTTGGGCTGTGGACGCAGCAAGACGAGGAGGACTCTTGCTCTGGCACCCCTGCTTAGAGGAGGGCGTGTTGAGACAGCGGCAATTGGCCCTCGGAGGCCCCCCTCGTCGCCGCGGCCAGACGCAGCTCGGAGAGCTGGTGCGCTTCGGGGGTCCGGGGGCTGTTCTTGAGCTGCTGTGACCACAACGCGCCTTCCGCCGACCTGCCTAGGCCGTCCCCAGCGGCGCAGCAGTTTGAGGGGGCGGTGGAGCGTGAGAAGGAGGAGGAGGAGAAGGAGGAGGAGGAGGAGGAGGGGGAGGATGAGGCGGGGGAGCAGGAGGAGGAGGAGCGGGAGGAGGAGGAGGAGAATCATCAGGAGGAGGAGGAGGAGGAGGAGGAGGAGGAGGATTATCAGGAGGAAGAGGAGGAGGTGGAGGAGGAGGGGGGGGGACGTGGTGCCACCGTGCATTTCCATGCCAGCACCGCAGCACTACGGTCGAGCATCTGATGAAGCAACCTCCACCCCGAAAGCTCGGCCAGCGTCTCTTAACCAACTTGCGGAAAAGCCGGCCCGGTTTCTTGAACACGCTCGATACTCCAGGTGTCCTTGATCACGGTTTCGGCTGTAGTACTTTCATCCTCGGAGACTTCTCGACGTTTCTGTTCTTCGTCGCACCCTCTGCGCCGCCTAGCCTGCACGAGGGCGATGATATTGCTCACTTAACTTGATCGCACGCTCTCTGAGATCTTTTTGCAGAGAGCGTTCAGACGCTACGGCCTCGTTGCCGAAGTCCGTTCAACGCAAAAAGGTCGAGGACGACGAGGAATGACGATAAGGAGGAGGCGGAGGAGGAGGAGGAGGAGGAGGTGGAGGAGGAGGAGAGGGGGTGGATCAGGAGGCGAGCGCGCAATCCACCCACTGGCCGTAGAAACCATATATCTTACATACATACATACACACGCATACATACAGACAGACAGACATACAGACATGCAATCATACACTTATACAGACATACATACAAACATGCGTACAAACTTACACACATACCTGCATACAGGCAGACAGACAGACAGACAGACAGGCAGACAGACAGACAGACAGACCAACATACATACATACATACATACATGCATGCATGCATGCATACATGCATGCATACATTCCGATGTACATACACACATACATACATACATGCATGCATGCATGCATACATGCATACATACATGCATACATACACAGACACATATCGAACCGAGACACCCGTTGTGTAGGGACATTTACGTGTGTGTGTGTGTATGTGTGTGTGCGTGTGCGTGCGTGCGTGCGTGCGTGTGCGTGCGCGTGCGTGCGCGTGCGTGCGTGCGTGCGTGTGTGTGTGTGTGTGTGCGTGTGTGTGTGTGTTTGCGTGTGCGTGTGTGTGTGGTGTGTGTGTGTTTGTGTGTGTGTGTGCGTTTGCGTGCGTGCGTGCGTGTGTGTGTGTGTGTGTGCGTGTGTGTGTGTGTGTGTGTGCGTGTGTGTGGTGTGTGTGTGGTGTGTGTGCGTGTGTCTTCTGGCATCCCCATGGCGCCTTCTGAGCCTAGACCCGATACCGCATCATTCGACCATTGTTTCGAAGCGCACACGAGGGAGATGATCAACAGTGTTGCTAGCAAGTCGGCCTGCCCAACTACAAACCTGCGCTGGCTACGACAAGCAGCACTACTTATATTCTTACTGGCCCTGCTCCTACAGCCGTTATTGCGATCACTGGTAGATGCGCTTGTTACAGCACTCCACGAAAACTAACGCAAGTTGTTTTAAACCCTTCACCTTCCCCCCCTCCCGTTTCACTGCCCGGTGTCGCGCGCAACGCGGACGGCGGGTTCCGATTGGGAAATCAAAGTCACCAGTTTCGGCGGACGCGTTGACATTTGAGGGTCCAGGGGCGCCGCGCATCGCGGGGGAGGATTGCGCCAGATTTGGCGGAGGGATGGAGAGGATTTGGGCTAGGATGTCGCGGAGGCGTTACCCTTAACAGCTTGAATCGTTACTTGTCTTATCAGCCCCGATTCTCAAAGTAGGGCGCGCCCACGCCAGTCAGGGCGGGTGCGCTTGGGGCGCTTGGCCGCCATGGGCGGCTGTGGTTCATCTCAGGGTCAGACGGCTGGAAAGCCGGGCAGCAAGACCGAGAGCAAGTACAAGAGCGAGGCCGGCACACATTCTTTCCCCGCGTCTTCCATTTTTCCTCGACCTCGCTATCCACCCGATCTCACCACCGAAGCACATCCTCTTCCTACTGATCATCGTGCTCCTCTCCGTGCTCCGCCTCCCCAAACTCCTTTATCATGTTATTCATGTTTCTCACCTTTTTCAATCCTTCCCTTCAACTCCTCAAAGGCGAAGTCCAAAGGCACCCCTGCCGAGGAAAAGCAGGAGGCTAGGCGGAAGAATGCCGAGTACATCGGCATCTTGACCGCCTTGGAGAGAGTCCCTCTGCTGAAGCGCTTGCCAAAGGACGCAGGGGGGCAGTATTCCTGAGGTTCAGTAACCAGGTCCAAACAAGAGGGCGATGGGACGGACGAGGAGAAGGCGGAGGCGAAGACGGCTAGAGGCAGAGGAGCATGTGGAGGAGGAGGAGGAGGAGGAGAAGGAGGAGGAGGACACCGACGAGGCTTTGAGGCGTGGCCTTCTGGACTTTCAGGGAGGGGGGCCTTCGGTCGCCGGCGCTACCTCAAACGCCGAGACCTTGCTGCAGTTGGAACGTGAGGAAGCAAGCGAAGAACGGGATCACGGGACGCCCTTTCAGCTGCATGTGCGCACGAAGCTCAGTAAGTGCGTGCGTATGCCGGTATTGTTTTCCTTGGGCGCCTGGTTGCATGGTGTTCGCAGTTGGTGCAGCAGCGAGGTCATTCGGATTGCTTCTTGCGCTGAGGCTTAGTTCGCGAGTCTCGCACCCCCGAATTGTGCACCCCTCAGAGACGCTCCAACGAGGTGCCGACCGCAAGTATGTATGTGGACCGTTCCAGAAGGGCCTCGCCGACCAGGGAGCGGGGGGATAGGGCTGGAAATGTCTGCCTAGCGTGTCGCGCCGCTGGTTCTAGCCCAGCACGCTCCGGCGCGACACGCTTTTCACGTCCCGGTCCCCGGGCGTCAATATCCTGAGCCACTCGAAGCTCGGGGGCGGAAAAGAGGGGGGTGATGACTAGGGGGGGGGGATATCATGGCGGGGGCCATGAGATCTCCCCAGATTTCATGGCGCCTCTTCTTATTCCATTACGTTCCTGGCCCCCCCGCTGGGCCGCGCACATGCCGCTGGTCATGATTTGCACCCCCCCCTCTTGGACACCCCCCTCTTGGCCGCTCCCGATGAGCCACTCGAGGCCCCCCTCCCGCAGGGCGGAGCGACACGCTATCTGCTCGCAGGGCATAGCGCAGCGCAGGGGCCGCCGCCGCGACACGCGAAGCAAAAGCCCCCCACCTCAGACCTCGCCCCCTCGGCGGGAGCCGCCGAAGGGTCCGCGGAGGTGGGCTGGAGTACATGGAAGCTGGAAAAAGTGACTGGGGCCAGCCCTTCCACTCTTTCCAGCCCTGGTCAGTTTTCTTTTTTTTCCAGCCCTGGCGACCGCATTCCTACTTTTTCGGGCTCGCTTCACCCACCGCCAGTTATTCCAGCCCTGGCCACTTCCATTTTCACTGATTTTCCAAGTTCCACTTTTTCCAGCTTCCCTGTAGGCCGGGGGCTGCGGAGGCTCGGCGGAAGCGAAAGCAGACCCCCGGAGGGAGGTCAGCATTGGTGCCTCGGAGTTTCTAGAGCGGATCGCACACCGTCGGCGACAGCCTCGCAAGTAGACTGCACACGCAGCTAGGCGCGGGTTAGGAGGGGGTTAGAAGAGAAGGTGCCATAGACAGGGGTGAATGATCTGGAGGGGGGGGGTGAGAGGGGGAGGAGGGATGCTGTAATGGAGGAAAGGGGAGAGGAGGATGGGTGGCCGTCCACCCACCTTTGACAAGAACTCATTGTGGAAACTACCCTCTTCTCTCCCCTTGACTCTGTCCAAGAGATGTTCGGTCCTCTTCGCGAATTGCTTTCTCGCGCACAGGATGTCAAAAGCTGTTTTGTTTCAGGCTTCTTACAATCCGCTCGCTTCCGGGTGCTCCCTCTGCAGCGCGAACCTCCTTTTCGGATCGGAGTTTTGCTCCCGTCGTTCAGATGTCCGCACGGCACTCACACTCAAGCAGTGGCGAAGCGTCCTGGCTCGCCTATAGCCCTACCAAACAATGTTCAAAGAACCTTTTGTGGTTCCCACGAAATGTTCTTAGAACATGTCTGGCGGAATCTGTATTGTTTCATCAAATCGGGCTTATGTTCTAAGAATATTGTATTTGTTCTTAGAACATTTTTAAGTTCTAAGAACACTTCGTGGTAGAACTATAGGACTGCCGGGACGGTCGGTCCCTGCTCAACACACGTTTCGTGGCTCTCTCGCCCCAGCGCGGGCCACTCTTCCGGATCCGAGTCCTTTCTGGTCGTCGCCGCCCCTCCTCTTTGTCCCTTCCTCCGCATTCCCCTGGTCCTCCTGCGTCTCCCGCTCCTTCTGCTCCAGGTCCTGCTTGTGCTGTTCGTCCTCGTGCTCCTCCTTCCTGCTCCTCCTCCTCCTTCTCCTCCTCCTCCTCCCCTCCTCCTCCTCCTCCTCTTTCTTACGCTCATCTTCCTGCTCATCCGCCACACCCCTCTCCAAGGTACGCAGATCCTTTCTCTCCGGTTGCGCATAACACCGTGGGATCCTCTGTGGAGTCTTGGGTCCTTTATGGCACGCGTCGGCGGATAGAGGGAGAACAGCGCAATCGTAAGGGGTGGGTGGGAGGGGTAGGATGTCAAAGATGGCTCAAGCGTACCCAGCTTCCCTCCCCCCTTTTCCCATCAACTTCAGGAGCAAGATCGGAGGGATGAGGAAGTTCACGGTCGGGAGAAGGAGGGAGGACGAGAGAGAAGGAGGAGAAGGAAAGACAGCAGCAGGACAACGTGCAGGACCAGGAGGAAGACAGAAAGGGAGGACGAGGCGGAGGAGAAGGAGGCCGACGACGACGAGGAAGAAGGAGGATGAGGACGCGGACGAGGAAGAGGAGGACTAGCGTAACCCCAGAATAGATCAACGAGGTTGCAGTGCACATTCCCGCCCCAAGCCTCCTCCGCGTAGGTCTATAAAGGCATTCCTTCCCAATTGCTCACTATTGGGAGCGTTGACTTGAAAGTCTGAACATTCCGGGCTAAAAGGTAGGCGAAGAGGTCGGATCACAAGAGTTGAGAAAATGACAATCGAGAGCCCTGGTTCTAAAAGGAACCGCTTTCGATCGGTATCAGTGGTGCGCAAACTTACTCGCACTGATTGAACGATTGCGGATGGGAGTGTCAGTCAAACAAATTCCCCATCCTGGATAGGAACAGCCCTCTATCCGTGCAAATGGTACACAGTCCTTTAGAAACTCAAATGTAGGGCAGTAGCGAGCGAGAGCCCAAGTTTGAACGGGAACCGCCCTCCATCCTTGGATATGTTGGAATATTGTAAGACGAATGCTCGCGGTGCTAATGCGAGACACATGTGTTGAAAAAAGGCCCGACCTCTATCCAGGTACCGTCCTGGAGCTTTCAAGACGAATGTGCGCGGCACCAACATGCGAGATTTGCATGTTGGAAGCCACACGCTTTTCATACATGGAATCGCCCGAAGCGTTTCAGGCGGGCGAACGTGCGCGCACCCAGGCGAGAGCAACGTTTTGAAAACCACCCGCCCTCCATCCCTGCTGCTGCTGGAACGTTTGTCAAAGGCTACAGGGTTGGGAAGTCTCAGGCGGAACGGTCAGCCCGCCCCAGCGGCACGTCTGGTCGCGCGACGAGGAGAAGCAAGGGGGAGGAGTTGAGAAGTTCATATAGCAAGCGAGTTCTATGATTAAGTCGGGCCTGTCCCTCTACAGGGGGAATATTCAAAACTACTCAGCAAATAATCTGGGGACTATGTGTTGAGTATTGTTGGGCATCTTTTGAGCATTTTTGGGGTATTTATTATTTGTCGTCCAAAATCCCCCTGTAGGGGGACAGCCCGACCTAGTTCTATAATCACTGATGGGACAAAGGCCTGATCCGGGCGGCGCGCTGGATCTCACGAGGATCCACCACATCGCCGCCGGGCCAGCAAGTTCCAAAGAGTGCCCCCGCCGACCCACAGAGTCAGCCCGGGAGGGTCCCAGGACAGCCCCGAAAGAGCCCCAAGAGTCCCCTTGAAAAGTCACACACACACAACAACCACAACAACCACAACAACAACAACAACGACGACGACGACGACGACGACGACGACAACAACAACAACAACAACAACAACAACAACAACAACGACAACGACAACGACAACGACAACGACAACAACAAGAAAAAAGGGCTTTGAAGCCGAACCCGTCTGGTGCTTGGGGAGGAGGGATGGAGGAGGGGGAAGAGGAGGAGGAGGAGCCTCCCTCCCTCCTTCGGCCTTCCTCCGTCGTGGCTGCTGCTCCCCCCGCCTCCTCCTCCCCCCTTCCCTACCTGTCCTCCTGCTGCTCCCCCTCGCATCGCCCCCCTCCAGTCAGCCTGCTTCTCCTACTGGGATATCCCCCCTTTACGCTCCAGGTCGCTCCCCCCTCTTCCCTCCTTGTCCTCCTGCTGCTGCCTCTCGTGTCGTCCCCCTCCAGTCAGGCCTCCCCCACCTCCGAGATATCCCCCCTTTGCGCTCCAGGTTGCCCCCCTGCCTGCGCGATAACCGCCGCAGGCAGGCTCTTGTTTGATCACCCCCCTCCAAACGCGACCGCCTCTGGGGGGGGATGGCTGTGTGCAGGCGAACAACGAATCCTACAGCGACAGGAGGAGCCGCCAGACATGGGACGTCGTGCCTTCTTCGCAAACCGGCACCCGGCTCCGTAAAAGTCTGGCCACTTACCGGCGACCAGCCTTTCACCTTGAGTCATGTTGTGGCAGTCCCGAGGCCCAGTGCGGGCCCCTGGCGGCCGAAAACCTCGCGCTGTGATCTCCTCACGACGCGAGGATGTGACGGGGAGGAGGATGAGGCGGACGAGGAGGAATAGGAGGAGGAGGAGGAGGAGGAGGAGGAGGAGGAGGAAGATGACGAGAAGGAGGAGGAGGATGAGGACGAGGAGGCGAAGGAGAGGGAGGAGGAGGGGAGGAGGAGGAGGAGAAGGAGGAGGAGAAGGAGGAGGAGGCGGAGGAGGAGGAGGAGGCGGAGGGGGAGGCGGAGAACGAGGACGAGCACGAGGAAGAGGACGAGGAGCCCTGGGGGCGGAGGGGGCCGTGAGGACCAGCACCCCATACTTGCGGCATGTTGCGTGACGAAGGCGGGGCCCCCCCGCGCCGCCGCCGCCGCCGCGCGCCCGCGCCGCCGACGGCGGGCGCCATGCACCGCCTGCCCGCGGTGGGGGCGAGCGGGCCTCGCCACAGTCCAAAAGTTCAAAGTCCTTTTCCTCTTCCTGCTTCTTCTCCTCCTGCTCCATCTCCTGCTCCATCTCCTCCTCCTCCTCCTCCTCCTCCTCCTCCTCCTCCTCTCAGGATTCATGATGCTAGTGATGATGATGGTGATGGTGATGATGATGGTGCAATGATGATGATGATGATGATGATGATGATGATGATGATGATGATGATGATGATGATGATGATGATTATTATATTGATGATGATGATGAGGATGATGATGAGGATGTTGATGACGATGCCGATGATGATGATGAGGAGGAGGAGGATGCGGGTGATCCTGATTGCGATGATCACGTTGATGATGATGGTGATGATGATGGTGATGGTGATGGTGATGATGATGAAGATGGTGGTTGTGATGCTGATGCTGATGATGATGGTAGTGGTGATGACGATGATAGTGGTGATGACGATGACATTGATGGTGGCGGGCGAGTATGGTGATGTTGACGATGGCGTTGATTTTGATGAGGATGACGATGGTGACGACGACGACGACGACGAACGGCGACGACGACGACGACGACGACGACGATGATGATGATGGTGATGATGATGATGATGATGATGATGATGATGATGATGATGATGATGATGATCATGATGATGATCATGATGATGATGATGACGCTGATGATGGTGGTGATGCTAATGGTGATGTTGTTGATGGTGGGGATGGTGATTGTGATGGTAGTGGTGACGGTAGTGGTGATGGTGGTGGAAATGCTACTGGTGATGGTGGTGATGAGTATGAGGTTGATGATGGTGATGAAGATGCTAATGATGATGATGTCAGTGATGATGACGATGGTTGTCATGCTGCTGCTGATGATGATGATGATGATGATGATGATGATGGTGATGCTGATAATGGTGATGACGGTGAAGATGGTGAGGACGAGGAGGAGGAGGAGGAGAAGGAGGAGGATGGGGATCGGTCTGATGATGATGGTGATGATGATGAAGGTGACGATGACGATGACGATTACGATGAGGACCAGCCCTTGGCATGCTCGCCTGGCAGCATGTGGCCGCGTTGCGTTGCCCGTCTGCCGAGCCAGGCCGTCTTTCAGCGCAGCGACCAGGCGGCGCCCGTTACTCCCCGTCATCTCTCCTCCTCCTTCCGCTCCTCATGCTCCTCCTCCTCCTCCTCCTCCTCCTCCTCCTCCTCCTTCCTGACGAATATCATCGCCGATAGGGACCCGATAGCCCACCCTGCCCAGGAACTCGTGTTTTCTTAAGAGGGTCCATCACCGATCCATTGGCGATGTATGGCCGAGAGGGGGATGAGGGGGCAGGGAGGGACGGTACAGGAGGAAGGGGAGGGGAGGGGAGGAGCCAGAGGGGCAGGGTGGAGGGGAGCGGAGGGGGGGCGGAGATGGGAGAAGCCGGACTCTGAGCAGACCCGCTCGGAGTTCGTGCTGAGCAGCCGGATAAGACGGCGGGCTTGAGGGGTGGGGTGCCAGCATTCTGCGGATTTGATACGCTGGCCGTCATTCCCCACCCAGGACGTGGAGGAGGAGGAGGAGAAGGAGGAGGCGGAGGAGGAGGAAGAGGAGGACGAGAAGGAGGGCAGGACGAGGAGGAGGAGGAGGAGGCTGCTCGCGCGCAGGAGCTACACCAGGCAGGCTGAGAGTGGTGACTTAGGGACTATGTTGCGCATTGCCCATACGTGCGAGGAGGAGGAGGAGGAGGAGGACGAGGAGGAGGAGGCAGGTGCTGCTGATTGTACGGCAAGGGCGCCCCTCGGAGACGGCATCCCACGCCCGCCGCTTGGGGGCCTGGGGGTGGAAGCGGGCCTGGTCCCTGTGGGGCCCGAAGCGCTCACCCCCTGGGAAGCCCAGGCCTTGCGGAGGTCGCCTTGGCACGGCAGGAAGCTCTCTGGGGTGCTGGGGCACAGATATGCCCCCATCTCCTTCCGCCCCTCTCTCCTCCTTGCAAATTGTTATCCCCATCCTCCTCCGCCTCCTTCTCCTCTTCCTCCTTCTTATTGTTTTTGCTGACCTCCTGCTAACCTGGTTTGTAAGAGCTGCATGTTGTGCTACTCCTCCTCATCATGAGGACGAGGAGGACATGAGCGCGCGAGGGCCCCAGCTGGCATCGATAGAATGGTCGGCGGTCCTCAGTCTTGAGGGAGGAGGAGGAGGAGGAGGAGGAGGAGGAGGAGTCCCCCTCTCCTTCTTCACTCCCCTCCTCTCCCCTCCCCTCTACACCCCCCTCAACTACCATCCTCTCCCACCCCTCCCCCTCCCCCCTCCCCTCTCCTCCTCCCCCCTAGTCCCAGCTTGAGCACCTCCAGGGGTTACGCTGGGCTGAGCGGCCGCTTTCTGTTGAGAGGCCCCATGTGCGCCACCACACGGCAATTGAGACCTCCAGACGACCCAGAACCCCGACGTCGTGATTTGTTCACAACGTGGACCGGACCTCTTCCCCAGGACCGGATTCTCATCCCGGGTTGTTTCTGGACGGCCCTCTGGCCCGGTGAGAGCCCCCGGAGGCCGACAATTGGCAAGATATTCCCGCCGTAGTTTTTCACAATGACAGGAGGCGGGGGGAGACGAGTGGTCGAGGGGGGAGCCCAGACATCCGACGCCTTCAGTTCTTCAACACGGAGCCCCCAAAAGTCCTGACATTCTCCCCAGGGCGGGCTTTTTATCCCGAGTCGTTGTTCGACTGTCCCGCGTCCCGGCGAGGACCCCCAGATGCCGAAAACGGCCAAAAACCTTCCGCGCTGTTTTCGGCGCGAGCATGTCAGGGGAGGGAGGGGGGAGCCTCCCCGCTGCGGAGGTGTACAAGGAAGGGCAGCTCTGCATCAAGCAGGGCGACCTCGGCAATGAGCTGTTCCTCATCAGGAGCGGTGAGGCCGTCGTCCTCATCGACGAGGGGAACGGCGGCAAGCCGAAGCAGGCCACCGCCGCAATGCGGCTGCCGCCGCACAAGGAGGAAAGGGAGGAGGAGGAGGAGGAAGAGGAGGAGGAAGAGGAGTAGAAATATGAGGAGGAGCAGGACCAGGAAGGGGAGATGAGGAGAAGGAGGAGGAGCAGGAGGAGGAGGAGGAGGAGCAGGAGGAGGAAGAGGAGGAGGAGGAGGAGGAGGAGGAGAAGGGGAGAAGGAGGAGGGTGAGTGATGCACCAATACAACAACACGTTAGAGTGGCATCGCAAGACGCAACGACACGCCGAATAGCTCAGATAAACACGCACCCAGCTCAACGAGCTTCTCAACGACATTCGTCGGGCCCATTGTAGGGGCACCACCGCCTGAGTACGGAAACGTGAAAATTCCGACGTACACGCGTTACGAACGAAGAGCACGCAACTCTGTCAACGCATGCGCCACAGGACCAAGGTTATCTGATGCGATCCGCCGCACGACAAAAGAATTGGTCACGCAAAGAGCATTCCAAGACTCCAAGACATTCAAGTTGCGGACCGGCCAGTCGGATATGACTGGTTTGCTGCGCTCCCTGACGGGGTTCAGATATCAGTACACGACTGCACTGGGAGTCCAAATATCCGATTCTGGCCCTACACGAGTTTCACCAATCACTTGAGAAGCGCACGCACGTCATCATGGATAACTCTGTTTCTTCCCTCCCGATTTCGGAGATAGATGAGGGCACCCGCCCACTTTTGCTCGACTACAACACCATTAGCATTCAAACGTGGGAGGAAGCAGAAGCGCTCCCAAGAGAGACTCACCGCAAGCAGAAGGAGAAGGTCAAAGCGGAAAAGGAACCAGGGAAAAACCTCAACGTGCCAAGAAATAGAAGATAGAAATGATGATTGCGGTGACGATGATCCGGGACTTGGAAAAGATCGCGTGACAGTTTAGAGTTACGAAGCTCCTGTTGACATCCATGATTCCGACTACCAAAGAGGCATATGTTTACCACGAGACATAGCGGAAACGCAAGCCAATGTCTTCACTATCGTACCAGCTTTATGTTCAGGCACGAACCATTGCGTCGACATGCTGGAGCTATGTGGTGGATCTGGAGGCATATATGTGTGTACATATTATATATATACATATATATATGCATATCTATATATATGTATATGTGTATGTGTATGTGTGTATGCTTTCTCAGGGTGGCTCTCCATGGGAATTCTCGAAAAGACGACGAAAGGCAATGTTGGAGACCACTTGGCTCAGCGGGCGTTGGACCAATCCTGGGCTGTGCGCTGCGCTCGCATAGCTTCGCTGAAGCCGAGCTGCAGGACCACTGGCCCGCCCTCGCGCTTCGTCTCGAAGGAGAACCCTCACCCAAAATCTGGAAAGACCACCACACAGCAGACTTGAGTCGGGCCTGTCCCTCTACAGGAGGAATGTTCAAAATTAGTCTAGAAATAGTCTGGGGACGATTTTTTATTTTTTTTTGGAATATGTTTAAGCATTTTAGGGATATTGTGGTGGCCTTCGGCCAGTACCGCCGATCCAGGTCGCTTGGGGTGCCCCCCCAGACTGGGCGGCGACACTTCGCCGACAGACACGCACGCACACGCTCGCAGACATTACGCGCACACACGCACACACACACGCACACAGACACACACACACACACAGACACACACACACACACACACCACATTCACACACGCGCGCCACCTTCGCAGGCACATACACACGCACACGCCGGCAACACACACACACACATGCACGCACCACGCACAGCGCACAAAACACACACACACACACACCACACACACAACAGACACGCATTTCATCGCCACCTTCGTCTTCCCACCCCATTCGTTCGTTTTTGTTTCCGCTCTTGTCCCGTTCTACTTCTCTTTCCCCCTTTCCCCGATTCCCTTCTCGCGCACACGGACAAACATTACCCCGCGCACACGCGCACACACACACCCCTCTCCTCCTTTCCCGGCAGAGCCACTCCAGCAACCCCCCAAAGGGCATAAGCTCAGCCTCGAGGCTGTAGCTGAGGCTCCTTCAAACTCGCACGCCACGGTACCCCCTTCCCCTGAATTCACGCCGCCGGTACCTCCTTCAAACTCGCACGCCACGGTACCCCCCTTCCCCTTCCCCTGAATTCCCCCTCGCAATTTCCTGGGCTCCGATATATTCTGACCTGAAGTGGTCCGGCCAGTTTCGCATGAGACGTCTTGCAGATGTAGGGGGTAAAGGATGCCGCGCACGAAGTTGTCTGACAAATTTCGCTTCAGACATCCTCGCAACTCTGGGCTCAGAGGTGTCCTGACCAGAGGTGCTCCAGGAAGTTTCGCCCGAGACACTCTCACAACTCTGCATTCGGAGATGCCGCGCGCGAGCTGGTCTGGCCAGTTCCGCCTGAAACATCATCACACCATTGCGCGTTGGCCACGTCCCTGCTTGGGAACGGTACTCTCGCCTCACCGCCGGCCACATCTTTTATTGGATACGTATGGTGTTGACGTTCGAGTGCCAGCAACATCCGCGATTGGCAATGGATCCTTCGCCCGAGCTCTAGGTACATCCCCGTCTGGGATGGGTGTTGTCGCCCTCGCTGGCCACATCCCTCATCATTTGGCGTAGTGCTCTCGCCTCAGCGCTGGCCACATCCCTCATTGGTTATGGCGTTGCCGCTCTAGCGTCAGCCACAATCACACGTTGGGGCGCTTATGGTATGCATATTGGAGGGGTTGTCCAGGTTGTCCGGGGTGTTGTCCGAGGATGATTGGGTATACATATACATATATACATATATATATATATATATATATATATATATTCCCATGAAACATCGTAGGAATGGCTCTCTGGTCTTTCCCCCCGATTCCCACGACGCGCTTCAGCATTTCGACGTGCGTCTGCTCCACACGCTTGTTAAGGAAGAAGCGGGTTTTCAAATACGGAAGAGGAGGTGTAGGTGTAGGAGGAGGAGGAAGCAAGAGGAGGACGAGGAGAAGGAGGAGGAGGAGGAGGGGGAGGGGAAGACGGAGGGGGAGGAAGGGGAGGAGGAGAGAAGAAGCGGAGGAGGACGGAGGAGGACGGAAGAAGGAACAGAGGAGGAGACCGGAGAGGAGGAGGACGGAGGAGCAGGAGGCGGAGGAGGAGGCGGAGAGGAGGAGGAGGAGGAGGAGGAGGAGGAGGAGACGGACAGAGGGCGGAGGAGGAAGATGAGGAGGAGAAGGATGAGGGGGAGGGGGACGGGAGGACGGAGGGGGGGAGGGGAGGAAGCGGAGAAGGACGGAAAGGACGGAAGAGGAGAACGGAGTAGGAGAACGGAGGAGGAGGACGGAGGAGGAAGACGAGGAGGAAGTGAGGATGGAAGGGGACGGAGGGGGACGAAGGACGGAGGAGGAGGAGGAGGAGAAGGAGGGGGAGAAGGAGGAGGAGGGGGAGGGGAGGACGGAGGGGGACGAGGGGGAGGAAGCGAGGACGGAGGAGGACGGAAGAGGAGAACGCAGGAGGAGAACGGAGCAGGAGGACGGAGGAGGAGGAGGAGGAGGAGGAGGAGGAGGAGGGGGATGAGAATCCTTTCCTCCCATTCGCGCGATGCGCCCAGGGCACGCCTTAGAACTTCGGCCCCCCCTCACATCGAGCGCACCGCCCCCGGTCGCTGCACCGCGGAGGTCAACACCGTCCGGGAGGGCGATTACTTCGGCGAGAACGCGCTGCTCCACGACGAGCCCAGGAGCTCAAGGGCGCTGGGGGGGGATCCCAGACATGCTCGCGTCGCGAAAAAAACACGACGGAAGGTTTTTCGCCATGTTCGCCCTCTGGCGGTCGTTACCAGGGACCGTCAAACAGGATGAAAAACTAGTCCCAGGGAATGGGATGAGACTTCTGGGGGTCCACGTCATGAAAAAATCATTGACGTCGGAGGTCTGGGATAAGATCTGGACTGGGTTTTAAGCTGGTCAAGCGGGGTTCCAACCTCAAGTGTCATGGCTGCAGGTTCCACAAGTCCGCTGTCTATGGGGGGGGCCCGTCTCTGAGACTAAGCCCAGCAAACGTGTGCGTCAGCCGTAGGTTCAGAGGTCCGCGCCGGCGCCCCATGGCCATGGCAACGCGGGTGCTGCTGGCAACATGAGCAAGACCGAGAAGGCGCTGCAGGCGGCACTTGCTGAGCTGGAGCAGCTCCGCAAGCAGGTGCAGCCGCAGGGCGACTCCCTTGCTGGATCAGCCATGGCGGTCGACCTGGAGGCGGAGGGCGACGGCGAGGGCGAGGCGCACCTGGCTGCCGAGGTCAAGGCCTTGGAGGCGCACACCGTGATCGCCAAGCAGGGCCACGGCAGCTGGGCCGAGGAGCAGCAGCGCGTGCTGGCCGAGAAGCTTGCGCTCGCCAGGAAGAAGCTCCTCGACTCCAAGCCGCTCCACACGCACGTGCAGGCCCTGGCCAGTCAGGTCAAGGCTGGTGCGGCCAAGGTCGCGAAGGCTGAGGGGTGCAGAAGAAAGCTGCTGACGAGCTCGCGCGGGCGAAGGCTCGAGGAGGCCGAGAAGGACCTGGTGCTGCTGCAGCAGCAGCAGGCACAGCTGGAAGGAGAGCCCGGGCCGTTTCAGGCCTCGCTTGGACGCGCGCCAGAGCCCACCCAGCAGGCGGACTTCGTCATGCCGTCGCTGGGGGTGCCCACTGAGGCCCTAGAGAGCATCGTGCTGCAGCTCACGGAGGGCCCTAGTCTTAGTGGCGATGCGAAGAAGCGACTCGTGGAAGGTATCGGCGGCCAGATCAACTAGCTCCTCATGGCCAAGCGTCCGAGGGTTCAGGAGGGTTCGTCTCCCGTGCCCACAGGTACTCCACCTGACGACGATGACGGCGGTGTTGGGCCTCCCGGGACTAAGCCGTGGCCGCCAGACAAGGTTGACGATATGGAGCCGGAGATGATCATGGACCCATTCGGCTCCCTCGAGTCGGCCAAGGCCATGCGTGAGAGTGCCCAGCTGCTCGCGAATGGCGATCAGCCGTTCTAAGTTGATTGTTTGGTTTGTGATGGCATGCGCCTCCTTTGCAAACGGAAAAGGTTCGATCATGATTGCTAATGTGACGTCTTGGGATTCGGTTGCTGGGCGCCTGGAAGCTTTTCCTGATGGTGCGATGGCAATCGCGCTGCAGGAGCATCACATCCTGGACAAGGATAAGCTTGCGTGCTTCCAGACAAAGACTGCGGACTTCGGCTTCGAGGGCATTTGGGCGCCAGCGTTGCCTAGCGGCGCCTCAGAGGTGGGTGCGTCCGCTGGAGTTGCTGTTCTGGCTCGCTCTTCGGTTGCGGCGACAGCTCTGCCTTTCCTTGGCGACGCCGTCTTGGAGCCAAGGCGCCTTGTCGAGGCGCGCGTCCACTGGGGCGTGCAGGGCGGAACTGTGGCGCTGTCAATCCACGTGGTCGAACCCGCTGGCATGGACGAGCAGAACTAATGTATTCTCTGGGCGCTTGCAGGATACGTAGCACGGCGTGCTGCAGCACAGATTGACTTCGTGGTCTGTGGAGACTTACTTCTACATGTGCATGGCGGATTTGTCAGGGTCACAGCTGGCCCGCACCGACGCTTTATTTACAGCTCCACGGCCCGCGACTTGCATGCCAAAGGTGCAGTGTGGGACCGCCATCGACCACGCCATGTTGCGCTCTAACTTGGCGCCACGTGCACGCGAGCCTTGGGCCCAGGAGGGCGCCGCCACATCACCTCGCCCACCGGCGCTTATGGAGCTGGCCGCGGAAGATCTCGAGTTGAAGCTGCGCGCGCCGGTTTCCCCCGCCATCGCCCCAGCGACGCCGCGCCCTTGCCTCGGCCGCTGCTCGCGCCGTGGAGGCGCCCAGGGGCCCCGTCGAAGCCCAGGATATGGCGTTGCACGCAGTCGACGCCGAGCTCTCGGATAGGCGCGACATCGTTGGGCCACGGCGTCAACGGGCCAGGTTGAAACCAGGTTGCAGGCGGCCACACGGGCGCCCCCTGCCAGGCGCGCTCGATTGGGCCCCGAGGCGCAGGCCATGGAGGTAGTTACGCGCTGGGCTCGGCACTTGACGGGGGCCAGGGCCCCTTGCAGGAGGATATCCGGCGCTGCATCGCGCTGATATTTCGCGCGCTTCCACCGCAGAGCCACGGCAGGGTTGCGCGCTTCACCATAAAGACGCAGGCAATATTCACAGGCATCCCCAGATCCCGCCCCACCGCAGCGCGGATGAGCAGGCTCCCCTCGCCCAGGCCATCGAAGTTTCCAGCGGGGGGACTTCGCTGGCGCGGCAGGGCGCACGGTGCAAAGATGCCGAGAGCGCCACGACATGCCAGCTTCTGCGAAACAGGCTGCGCGGGTGAATTTCGCCCAGGACAGCATGGCGAAAGGGGCCAGCAGGGCGCGTCGAGGCACCGAGACGAAGGAGCTGCAGGCTGCACTTTCAGAGTGGTGCGATCGCGCAACAGCGGCGTCGTCATTTCGCGTTTGTGATCGCGAGATAACCCCGTTGGCCAAAATATGGAGGTGCCACGTCTGATGTCAGCCAGATGTCCCAGACGACGCAGAAGGCTGGCCGCGGTTGCCAGACATCGCGGGCGAGATGACGAAGAACGCTATCTCATCGTTTTCACCGACCGCGGCGATGGGCCCTGGCAGGATCGGGGCGCGCGCCTTCTCTGCAGCTCTCGGATCGGGGCCCGTGCGTGCTCGCTGCCATGTTCTGCTGTTTTGAGAAAATCCTGCGCTGGCCAGATGGGAGACTTTCGCGCGGGATGGCCTGTTTGCCGAAGCCGGGCAGAGGGCGCAGGCTCATCGCGCTCGTGGATGGCGCCATCAGGATCTGGTCGGAGGTCAGGCCCCAAATCCCCCAGGACTGGGCGAGCCAGAACCGCAGCGCTGACATCCGGGGGCAGGGGGCAGGACGTTCATCTTCGGATTCGGCGTTTCGGCTCAACCTGGAAGAGGAGATAGCGGAGGCGCGCCAATTGCAGCCATTCGCGGCGCTCATGGATGCTTACACGTATTTCGAGACTAGCAGTGCTGGACGAGGCTCGGGCCGTTGGGGTGAGTCCCAGATTGGCATGGATGGTCATTGAGCTGCATCGCCAGCCGAGACGGCTCAGAGCTTTTTGTTCGGTCAGCGTGGCGGTCGCGGCATGGCTGGGCAGTTTCGCGGGGCGTTCGCGCGCGTGCTTCATGGTCGTCGCGCCGCTGCATTGGCTGCCACTGAGGATTCGCGCCCCTGCGGTCGCCCTTAGGGCGCTGATCGACGACGTTAGTTTAGTCTGCGCGGGATTGCGAAGTCCGCGGGCAATCTGGGCAGGTTGCGGCGGGCGGTCACCAGGTTCGGAGAGAGCGCGAAAGAGCTGGGCATCATCATGCAGGTCGACAAATCGGGGCACGTTGCATCCAGCACCGCAGCGGCCAAGGCACGCAAGAAGCATGGAGGAGCTGAGGACTGCGGTGCAAAGGCTGACGCGCAATATCGGGCAAGATGTGGGAGGTGTTCGCAAGTCTCGACGACTCACGTCTCCGCGAATTGCTGGGACGTTTGCACGGCGGCCGCGCATTAAGATGCATCAGAGGGCTGCGGCTAGGAAAGTGCTATGCTTGTGGAAGACAGGATTGCGGCCCGGCGCAGGGCACGGCGCTGGCGTCGCGGGCCCGTCAGACACACGCGTGGTTCAAGTTCGCGCGGGGGCAGGTCGGCTTGCAGAGCCCCGGCCCGGAGCGCCCAGCCTCGCATTATTCGCGTCAACGCAGCGAGCCAAGGAGTCCGATCACCTCTCTCTCTCTCTCTCTCTCTCTCTCTCTCTCTCTTTATATATATATATATATATATATATATGTGTGGCGACATTTGACTTGGCGCGCAGATACGCGGCTACGATTTGGAGCTTCGGGCGTCTCTCAGCCAGCTCCACCGCGCCCGGGCGGAGATTGCTGCCCGTATGGTTCTTCGTGGACAGTCCACGCGGGCCAATGCGAAGGGCCCCAGTTCCTCGGCCATCCTCGCCCTGTGGGGGATTGGCTGGTACATGTGTTCCTCTACGGTGCTGGCGAATGATTGTGATGCGTCGTTCAGCCCCATGGCGGTCAGCCCCCCAGACCTCCGCCGCCACTTGGCGGAGTCGATCGGGCGGTGGCAAGGCGAGCGCATCGCGTCCAGGTTCGAGCGCCCGCAGGGCGACCAGGCGCAGCGATGCTTGCGGGCGGTGAGCCGACGCGCGGGCGCGCCCAAGGCCGCCGGGGCCGAAGGCCCGCAGGCGCCCAGTCCGCGCGCGGACTGGGCCGGGCGCGGACTGGGCCGGGGAACCATGGACGAGGCAGGCGAAATATGATCTGCAGCTGGCCGAGTCCCCCACGCGTCTAGCCTGCTCAGCGCCGAGTGATTTGTCGGGGCGCTGCTTCTCTGGATGCCCTGAGGTTGTTGCCCCCAGAGATGAGTCTGAGGTGGGCGGCAAGGCGCTGCCTGATGGGTTCGTCGAACATTCGGAAATATATGCGTGGCGAGGGGCTGCAGCAGGGGGGGCGGGGCGCCTTCGACGCGGGGGTCCGCCTGTCTTGCGCGCCGCCCTCGCTGCCCAACGTAAAGAACGGGCACCCTGTGAAGCATCGGAGGGGACTGGGGCGCGCCCGCCGAACGGTTCGGAAACGCTGTCTTCACAGACGGGTCGGGGCTGGCACCATCTACCCCCGAGCTCAGGCTTCGCGGCTGGTTTGTCATCCAGTTATCTCGCCAGGGTGCTCCACTTCGAGCGGTATTGGCCCGCTGTCTGGGCCTCTGAAGACGGTTGGTCGTTCGGAGAGGCACGCTCTCTTGATGGTTGCCAGGCTCTTCGGGCCTGACTTGCAATGCGTTTTCATTGACCTTCTGGCTTTGCAGGGCGAGGCTGCCCACCAGGGCCAGAGCTCGAAGTCGCATCGACCGCGCATGCCGCGGCATGGAGAGCCCTTCGGTCTCAGCCGAGGCGCCCACTGCGCGCTGGATCCCCGCCCACTTAAGCGTCGACGAGCACCTTGGGCGGAGGCTCAGCCCCCTGCTGCTCCGCGGCAAGATGCGGGCGGACCGAACGGGGCGCCGACGCGCGAGCTGCGCCCAGGGACTACGAGGAGACCCACAAGGTGGAGGCGCGGTTTGTCAAGCAGGCATCGGCCTACACCGGACGGGCCACGCAGCGAACCTCGAAGGATGGCAAGTGCGAGCCCGCGGTGTCGGACGCTCCTCGACGCCTAGCTGAGCCGCGCGCTGCGCCCGCTCAGGCCACCTCGCACATCGCCGCCTAGCTGACCGACGGGGCGCACGTTTGTCGCGGATGTACAACGGTGGCCTGGAACCTGCCCCCGCGCACTCCATGCCAAACTTCGAGACAGGGCGCTCTGCGAGCAGAGGCCATCCCCCAGCATGGAGACGGCGCGCATAACAAGTTGCCCGAAGCCGCTTCGCTCGCCGCGGCTGCGCTCGACGCTGCATTCGTTTCAGAGGACATGGGCCGCGCGGGGGGCGGGACGCTGTCTCCGAGTGGGCAGCGGCCAGGGTCGCCGGGCGCAGTTGCCATCGGATCCGAAGATTTGGCCCCGCTGTCTTTTGCAAAGTGCGCGTCGCCTGGCCCGGTGGCGGAGCGCCCGAGCAGCTGCCAGAAGCACGCGCGGGCGCCGTCACAGGCGAAGGGCGGTCAGAGAACTTCGTGGCCAACATGAACTCCAGAAGGAAGCGGATCCTGAAGGGACTGCGCCCTAAGGATCATGCGCCACTGGCCCTGCACGCCGCACCTGGGTTGTCGGC